TSTRMKRCMACACGACGCACTTTTGTCGATCGACGCAAAGCAATTGTGTCGATCGACGCGTCGCTGCAGATCGTGAGGATCGAGCCTATCCTCTCATGGCTCGAATCCAAAGTGATTCATCGATCTCCTACACGAATCCATCAACAAAACACACAGAATCCAATCCAAACAACAGCAAACAATCATATTCCATCAATTCCTTTACCCAGATAAACCATGGTCACGCACTCATCTTAGAAAAAACGGTTATAACACGCGTTTCAAATTTCAAATTAAACCGAACTCGATGGCTCTGGAAAGCTAAGACTCGGAGCTTTCCAATGATACCTAGATCGTCTTCTGGATCCTTACAGAACGACAGAAAAACGGCCCGCAAGTTCGTTGTTCAGAACTGGAAACAGGAAATTTCAGTTTCAGAAAACATGAACGACACATTGACATCTAAAGAACACAGAGAATGGAGATTACATCGGAAACAGGATCGAAAACCTGTTCTGAAAACTAGACAGAGAGAGCTTTCCACATATAGGCAGATCATCTCCTAATTTCTTCTGGTTCGACGAGAATCCTCCCTCGAAATAGACTGATCGCAGACCCAAAAGTGCAGAAACATCTCTTAGTAAAACGACGATAACTCTCGGAATACTAATCCAAATGACAAACCGATTTCGCCCAAAGCTAGATACGAGAGTGAAGAACTTACCCTAGAAGTTTTGCTCCAATCCGATCCAAGCTTCCCAGCCTTTCGTCTCTCCTTCTAAAATCAGACAGAACTGTTTTCAAAACAACAATCTCTTCTTCTCTCTCATAACCTACGAAATCCTCTCCAAAATCGGCTGCAAAAAACGTCTCCATGCATTTTTATATCATGCCCTAGGGTTCCCTAAACCGGACGCCAAACCAAGCGATCAAGAACCGAACTTGTCGGTACGATTTCAACTTGCGTCGATCGATGCAACACCCAGAACCCGACTTCTCGCGAGTCCAAGCACGTGTGTCGATCGACACACACACTGTATCGATCGACGCACCAACCAAAAATACACATTTTGGTTCACGGACGTTACATGTTATTATTATTTTCACACATATTTTTCTTTTTTTGCTAAAATCACACACATAAATAAACCTTCAGATGCCGAGAACATGTGGTGCAGTGGTTATCCACTTGCAGTTCTTTGGCATGTAGGGAGTTCGACTCCTTCCTCCCTCATTTGAGGGTAAATGGATTAGTGGGCCGGCCCGTTGTGGTCCACCCTTGATAAAAAAAAAATAAGACGATAAAAAAATAAAATCTGATTGGCCGCCATTCCGAGTACTACTTATGTGTATTAGTGAATTGCGGAGCTGTTTTGCTTCTATGAAGCCGAATCGGTAAAGGCAAACTCTATGGCCCGTGAGATTGTGAGGAGTGTTACTCGTGGGGGTAGGTTTCAGTCGTACCTTGCTTTCAGAAGCCGTGCATGGCTACACGAAAAGATTCGGTATAATGCATCTTTTTCTTAACATCTTTTTGACCCTTGTCATTGGATAGTTGAT